CGATAACCCTGCAAATATGGGAATTAGAGGTAGAATTCCACCTACTTTCGGGATAGGTATAATTCGTGGAGTACGAATATTTCTTTTACCACCTGATGTTTTCACAAATTGCTGCTCGTAAAGCGAATTGTGTTGCTTTTTGTGTATTATTAGAGACGAATCGTTTACCACCAGCTTTTCGTATTTCATCTCGTACTTTATGAACAATACCACCACCAAAGCTGACCTTTTTCTTTATATTCTTCTTTTTGTTTGTCTTCCTTCTGGGAACTGATTTGAATTTACATCCCATACCCAGACGCCGCTTTGCTTTCATGATATTCGTGACTAACCAAGCAGCTGCCTTTTCTTTAAAATTAGCGTCTTTAGATTTAACTCTCTGCCAGGCACGTTGTTCTAAATCGTAATCTGCTTGATGACGTGTTGATAAGTCTTTATAATCCTCATAGGCGGTGTCATGAAGTTTACACGCCCGGTCCAGAGGGTTAATACCGGGATCACCTCTTGCAATCCGTTTCTGAAATTTTGTGCCAGGTCCACAATACTGATATCCCCCCGGTAAATGTACTTCAGATGGAAGTTTATTTATTAAAGAATTTATAAATCCTTTCCCTGTTCGTGAAAGAAACACTTTATGTCTAGATTGGTTGACGAACGGCATTAAAATGAGCGCAAAAAAGTGTAATATATTTATCTATATAAAAAATACATGTATTTGTCTTCTAACACAACTGATCGTCGACGTACTTAGAATGCTAGCAATCAATTAAATACACCACAGTTCATTTCTAGTTATATAGCATCCAAAACCCAAGCAATGCGGATTGTAAAACAGAAGGATTCGTTTGTAGTGGACAATTTCGATGAACATTTGGGAAGTGGTGTAAATATCAACAATAATCGTCATGGGTCGCTATTGCGAAATATATTAGAGCGCTTCTTATTGGTCCTTCGAACTGTGGGAAGACTAACGTTATGATTTCTCTTATTACACATCCACATGGTCCACGTTTTGCCAATATTTATTTATACTCCAAATCACTGTATCAACCAAAATATGAATATCTTCGAAAAATATTGAATCCTATTAATGGATTAGGATTTTACACATTTAACAATAATGTTGACATTGTTGATCATTCTGAAGCTAAACCGAACTCGATTTTTATATTTGACGATGTTATATGTGAGAAACAAGATATTATTAGGTCATATTTTAGTATGGGTAGACATAAATCCATAGATAGTTTTTATTTGGCTCAAACATATTCTAGAGTGCCGAAACAACTAATCAGAGATAATTCGAATTTTATTATAACGTTTAAACAAGATGAAATGAATTTGCATCATATATTTCAGGACCATGTGTCACCGGACGTCACATTCAAAGAGTTTTTGGACATGTGTGCAAAATGTTGGAATGATAAATATGGATTTCTAGTAATTAATAAAGATAGAGAACTAAAAGAAGGTAGATACAGAAAAGGTCTGGACAGTTACATATATCCATAGTGTATACTAATTTTTACATTAATTGTGAAGAAAGCGATGATGGGTACACATCAAAAAATGAAGAAAGCTATAGTCGATAAGGATGAAAAGAACGAAAACAATGTTAGTGAAATAGATTTGAAACGTAAATTAATAGAAACAACGGATGCTATTCGAAAAAAAAATCAATTATATAAAAAACAGACATATTGAAAATCAAATGGTGCTGGAAAAAATATACGAACCATTAACAAAACCATTAAAAACTATTTCTGAAACAACTCAGGAAACAAATAGTAAATTTCAGTCTACGCAACAGTATTTAGTAACACCAGCTAAAAAATCACAACCTATAGTGCTATGGCAAAAACACCAAAAAATTCAAGCAGATGAAACAATTATGGAAAATCCTTCTTATATGGAAACTCCACCATCATCTTCGGTGACGCCTTCAAGTTCTAACAGGTCTAGTAGTGATATTGAAAAAATACCTAGTATCGTTTCAAATTACATCCACGGGGTAAGAGCCGGCGATTCTGCATTCGATACCAAATATGGAGTGCGTATTAACGTCGATACTGGAAAGTTAGCTATGGGTGATTCAGAGGTGCGATTCCAGGGTAAGAATATAACATTTTGGAGAAATAATAAAAAGCTTGGAACGTATAAAGGAAACCTTCAGTTATATGATTTATTATTTCTAAAATTTCCCCCAGACCTAAGCAGTGCCGGCTCTGGAATTAGTGATGAAAATAGAAATATATTTGGAGACATATTGAATATAACGAATGCAGCATACAAAAACTACGATGTAACATCAGGGTATGACTACAGTAGAACAAGAAAGTATGTCGATGTTATAAAACCACTATTACATCGCAGAATGGCAACTCGATCCATGAAAGGTTCCGGTATAATACCTACTAAAAAATATATACCAGCAAAAAAGTGGACTATATATATTGGAATAAACCCAAAGAATTAATTGACCGCTTAAGATTACTGTGGAGTTCTAAAATGGCTGGCCATTCAGGTCATGAAAATGAGGTATTATCCATAATAGAAGAATTAAAGGAAGAAGGAATTATATATTAGATATCTATCGCTCACACTTATTTCATAAATATATAAAGACGATGCTAGTTTAATCCACATTAATTGTAATCTGAACACAAGAGAACGATGGGCTCCATCGATAAATTTGGACGTCGAAAAGGGATGCATTGTGTAAGTAAACATGGTTCGCAAGGCGTCGGCTTCAAACTTACCAATGAAAAACAGTACGATATTCAAGGCAAACTATTAAAAAATATTGGTGAGCCCACAAACGAACATGATGGAACGACGATGCAATATGTGAATAATATTATAGATGTTTGTAAAAAAGACATCCTCAAGGCATTGCAACAATCAGCCAATCTCATAACCGATAATTTAGTGGCTTTCGTTAAGAGAGAAAGAGCAGAAACCGTTTTAGAAGTGGTTAAACTATTTAAAATTTCACAAACTAAGATGGAAGAAGAGAGTAGCGATATTAAAGTTAAATTAGATGAATTAAAAAGTGACCGTGAAAAGAAATTAGAAACGCAAAATACTTTGGTAAAAGATATGGAAAAACTTGAGGAAATCCTTGTGAGACTTCATCCCTCCGTTTAGACCAAACTTATAGATTGACGTTAGTTAATATATAAAGGATGGTGTATATAAAAGTAGGAGCAATTCGTCACGACAAGGCCTTCCAAAAAGAACGGGGATCATTTACGTAGTCACTGTTCTATTAGTAAACTTGAATCATAAAAAAAATAATGTTCGTTAGTGATACAAAACGACAAATTGTCGATGAATTGCATAAACCAGCCCGAAAGGGATTTGGGGACTTGTGGCAAATCGACTTGGCAGAAATGCAAGATTTTGCGAACAAAAATAAAGGTCATCGATATATACTCATAGTAATTGATTGTTATTCTAAATATGTTTGGGCCAAACCGTTAAAGAAAAAAACAGCTATGGAGATTTCTACAGCGATGAAAAATATTCTTAGAGAAGCTACTTATTCCCCAACAAACTTACAGAGCGATCAAGGGCTTGAATTTTACAACCGTCAATTCTCTACACTGATGCATCAGTATGGTATAAATCATTATTCCACATTCAGCACAAAAAAAGCAGCAATGGTAGAACGTGTAATTAGAACCCTGAAAAATTGGATATACAAAGAATTTTCTGCAAGAGGTAATTATAGGTGGATTAACATTCTGCCTGAAATTATAAAATCGTATAATAATAGAGTTCATCGTACAATAGGAATGAAACCTGTTGACGTAAAACGATCAACGGAATTAAAAGCTTACAATCACCCCAAGATTGTACAGAAACCAAAATTCAATGTAGCAGACATTGTCCGAATTAGCAAGTACAAAGGCGTGTTCGAGAAGGGATATACAGCTAATTATTCAACAGAACTCTTCAAAGTGGTTAAAGTAAATATAACAAATCCTACAACGTATGTGTTAGAAGATATGCAGGGAAGACAGATTAAAGGATGTTTCTACGAATATGAATTGCAAAAAACCAAATATCCCGAAGTATATTTACTAGAGAAGGTCTTGAAAAGAAAGGGCAACAGATTGTTTTGTAAGTGGCTGGGTCTTCCCAACACTCAAAATTCATGGATCAACAAGGCAGATATAGTTTAAACAGTGACTTTTATCTAACATTAGAATATATTAATTGTCTTTGTTGAGAAATGATGGTAGCAAATATTGTTTTTGTTTTGTAACATAGTAAAAAAAAAACATGTAATGAACAAATTATTGTAACAATCTGTATCAATTGAGAAGTAATAATAATAAAAGATATAAATATATTTGAAGCATTTTATTTTCCATTACATAATATTATTAAATACAATATGCAAAAATAATTATCTTATCCATCAATAAGTCCACATCTAAATAGTTGTTGCTGATTTGTCAAACACCAGCATTTCTTGAAATGTACGTTGGCGTTGCCATAGAGATACCCAGTGTGCTCACATAAAAATGTATTCTCTCTGTCAGTAGCAGAGGCACTTTTCCAGCAGTTATCTGTATATGTCCTACAAACAGCGCAGCGTTGTCTCAGGGGATGGTCCTCTATTCTACAACGTTCGCAACGGTCTCTAACAATTCCAAAATTTGTAGCTTTTAAATTTATACATTTCTTACATCTGCCAGTTTTTGCTTTTACTATTGGTTTGCGGTTTTCTTTTGCACAGGTCACACAAAGTCCCGTACAATCATTAATAAATGGTTTGTTCGTCATGTAATAACAATTATGGCACGTAATTAAATCCGGTGCACTAAAGGGAAGGGCTTTTACTTTCACTTTTGTGTCCCATTCTTTCGGAAATGGCATTTTAATACTTGTGTACTAGTTGAGATGTTTAAAAAGAAATGAACTCCTCATGCTTCCAAAAAATCTTTATATAGGTATGTAGGAATGACCTTTATTTGACTTTTCTAAAAATATAATTCCTTCCGATATGAGGAATATCATAACATAATCTGTGACGTCACATAAAAAACGCTATATAAGCCTGAGGAGTCATATTGAAAATTAGTTGTAGTCTACAGCTTCCAGAAGACAGTTGTGTGTTCATAAATTTCTATTCAGTGATAATGGCTCGACTTGGGTTTGTCAATTGGGATATGTTGAGAAGACTAGCTGCTATGGAGCAGGAGGTAAATATTATCAAAATGTGTGGTTTTTTAATAAATTATTGTTATGAAATGTGTTACATAGGAAGCCTGGGGAATCCAACGTGAAGACGTTTCGGATAATGAAAGCGAGGTCGACGAAGTTGTTGAAAGTGATGCGGAAGAAGGTGAGGAATATGATGTCAATGGAGTGAATGAATTGGAGCATGTGGTTCAAGATGATGTAAATGAAGAAGAAGAGGAATATAATGAAGGTCAGGTGGATGAAGGCGACGATGTTGAAGGTCAGGTGGATGAAGGCGACGATGTGGATAACGGGGAATCAGATGCTGAAGAGGCAGATGACGCGGTAGAGGTAATAATAACCTTTAAAACTATGTAGTCACATTAATTTTTATTGTGTTTTTCTTTCGTAGGTAGCCGAGTATGTTGATGAGGGTGTCGTTGAAGACTGCTCCGACGATCTTGATGATATTTTGGTGAGATCCCATGAAGTAGCAAATGGTGATGTTGTGGATAAAGGTCAACTTTATTGTTATACATATTGTATGGTGCTCGTTAGCACAGACCCGAGAGGCGACCACCAACTGTGTCACAGGTGTTATATGGAGTTGGAGAGCCTTTCGGGTGTTGCGGAATATGAGCACAGACATTATGATAGCCACACAACGTCAAAATATGAGGATTGCTCATTTTACTGCTCATCATGTCGGCTACCTCTCGAACAAGTGCAGTTAACTAGAACGTGCGTCATCTGCAACAATGTTAAACCGCACAAAGACAGAGATGATTATTGTTAGTGATTGGTATTAGTTCCAGTATAAGTTATATTTTTAAGTAATTTAAATATGTGTTAAGTTTAGAGTTTAGTGCAGATATGTTTAGAGATTTTGAATATTAAATAAAGAAGGATAGAAATTATGATTTTCTTTCATTACAAGTAAGATGGTGTATCCCTCAATATATATTTTTTGCGATTTTTGGGCTAACACATGTGTTATGATATTTTTACCCTAAATCATCAAAGTGGAAAGTAGTCTATAATTGGGTATGTGCAAACTTTCATATGGAATCAAACAAACTTTCGAAGTTTATTACATGTTATTAATGGTATACAATAAAAATATAAGAAATATGTTTTAAAACATATTTGGTGATAGTGACCTCCAAGTGTCTAGATTCCTTATTTCCGAGCGATAGTACGGTAACAAAGTACGATGAGAATATGGATAAAGACTACAACCGAAAAGGTTGAGATCCATAATGCCAGGTAATTTAAATGTAAACTTGCAGGATGGTAAGGAAATAACGCGATATTAAGTTTAGGAAAATGACTTTTTGTGTGTGCTTAATTACAGACCATTTACAGTACCCGGAGATCTTACGATCTATAACACTGGTTGACTTGATGGAGGCAGTTATGGATCGTATGAACTCTATTAATTTGAAAATTGAAATAATATATATATA